CAACACAACCAAATAAAACACAAAAACAGTAGTTTCTACTAATCCACCACTCGACGACAACAATTTCTCTTGCATGTGGTGCCTGACACATGTATCCATCTCTCGACACCAGGCTCCCCTATAACACGATGTCTACTGATTTTGTAGCGTTGGACTCAATTCCAGTGGAGCTTAATATAAAAATTTATTAAAAATAATTTTATTGTCCAAAACATGTTTTCTTATTCACTTATTTAACCTATTTAAAATAGAAATTAAAAGTTAAACAAACATTAAATAAATAAAACACATTAAACTTGATAATTATACAAGATAAAAAGTTAAAAAGAATTGATTTTATTCACTAAAATCAGGTAAAAATGAAAGTTATGATATACAGTTTAGTATATGATGCTATTTAGAATAAATGATTTGAGCCCAATTTCATAGCTGAGTTTGCAAACTACTAACTATCTAAATATATAAGGCCTGCTGGAGTTAGTAATTTGTAATTGTGATGCAGGGCAAGATGGAAAGTTACTGCAAAGAGAGTATTATCATAACTTTATGGATCAAGAAGCCCAATTATTACTTATGCAAGAAGAAATGGGCATGTTTGGTATTGTACTCCTGCAACATGGATGAAGGGTACCAAATAGGCTGATGTTTTTTCTTTCTTGTCAAAGCCTTTATTTCGAACTTACGTACTTTTCTTCATTTACACAAACAAGAAGAAAATCTTAACCGCCCCTTGTTTGGTGTAAGAAAAATATTATTTCGTTTATAAAAAAGAAATTCAATTTTTTAATGTTTTTAAATTACTATATATTTCGATTTTTTTTCTTTAAATTAATCAAGCAATAAGGAAAGTTGTATTTGTTTTGAAAGTTTTTTTAGAGAGGCAACAAACTTGTAAATATTTTAATGTCTTTCATAACATTTCCAATATCAGTTAAATGTCATACGAATTTAATTTCAGGTTTATAAGTTTTCATTTCTTTTTAAGTGGATTTCAAGTAAACTTCACCCAAAAAAATAATGTATTAAACAAAGCAACTAGCTCAATCCAAAACCATACAAAACAAACTCAATCCAAATAAAAGAAGACAATATCCATCAAGATAAAATAGTTTTATTTTATAAGCCTACTTGTATTTCGATTTCTAACCATTTTTTTAATATTAATGTAATATTTTCATTACATATTTATGCATTAATAAATATTTCTTTTATAAAAGATAAAATCCTCACCAAAAACAAGTACAAAAACAATATATCCATTTTAAATATTATTATAGATAATAGAAAAAATGAGATTATAAAACTTAATTAATAACATTATTTTTATTTTACATTTCATTAAAAGTACACTTTATAGTAAATAGTTCAATAAATTATTCTATCAACTACTTTATTTAATGTAACCTATTTTAATAACAACGTCATCAAAAAGGTTATAAATAAAACTATTAGCTTTAATGAGAAAATATTATTTAAAAAAACATTTATGGTAAATTATTTATAATTAGTTATAGTGGTTGAATAAAATATTTATTTGATTAACATTTTATTCACTCAAATAAATCCGCGGCAAGAATAACAAAGGAAAGAAAGGAGTGAATGGGTGGTGACTTAATTGACCAGCAACAAGAAGAACCCACAACACATATCACACCACCAAAGTGACTTCTCCTCCTTGTCTTTGCATCTATGGAGTTCTGAATTATAATCAAATTCTCTCTGTGTCTACATATATAACATCATTGTCGTGCATAGGTTTGCACTGAATTGAATTAAAAATGCAGAGCAGGGGATCGAGTCACAGACTCTCAAGTATGGGTAACAATCGATCCCGCATTCCAGCACTCCTCATCTCCATGTTCGCCACTTTCGCTTCTATCTACGTCGCTGGAAGGTTCTTCTCTTTCTCTTCCTCTTCCTTCCGTTGCCGTTGCGCTTAATTTCATTTTGCTCAATTTTCCTCTTCAGGCTTTGGCAGGATGCAGAGAATCGCGTTTACCTCATCAAAGAGCTCGACAGGATCACTGGTCAGGTCGGTTAGTTACTGCTACTCACACCTCACATACTCTATTTTCACTGATCTGTAATCCTCTAAATTTCGCTGCAATTTCAATTACGTAGTTATCGCGAATCGCGACTTATTGCACCGGATTTTAATTTTCGCGATTGCTGATTCAATTAATGCGTTTCAATTTGATCTGACACTGTCGATTCTCTGAATTCGAGAACTGGTTGATGGCGTGTGTATTAGTAGTTATTATTAAGGAAATAGGATTCAGTATGTGTCGTAGATCAACTGTGTGATACTGTATTATAATATTAGATGCATTAGGAGATGGACACTGCTTCTACTTGTTCTGGCTAAATTAACCGCGAGGTTTTTATTCTAGGGACAATCTGCTATATCTGTGGATGATACATTGAAGATCATAGCCTGCAGGCGAGTTAAATTTTACTTGAACGTGTTGCTTAAAAAATTACCATCGTTTTTTGTAGATTGCTATTGGATTTTATTCATGATGTCCTTTGGACTTTGAATGTTTGCTCATTTCTTTTGTGACTGGTACCATTGAATTATATGGTTGTAGGGAACAACATAAAAAGCTTGATGCCCTTGAGACGGAACTTTCTGCGGCTAGACAAGAGGGTTTTGTTTCGAAACCCTTGATAGAGACTAATGGAACCTACTCTAGGAGAAGGCCGTTGGTTGTGATAGGTATACTGACAAAGTTTGGCCGCCAAAAGAATAGAGATGCAATCCGCAAGGCGTGGATGGGAAGTGGTATTTATATTCTTTGCCTTCGCTTCCTCAGAGCCACATGTCTTGAGTATATATTTGCCTGTTTTCGATTCAAAATGAATAGAAGAGCAGTAAATATGAAATGTTATGTAAAGAATTTATGTGAAGCCTGAACTCTATGGTTATCGTAATTTTGATTCAAGTCATGTATTGCTGAGCTATATATCTTGAATCCTGAATTGTAATTTTGTATTGAATCCTAAGATTCAATTATAAAGAAAACAATACTTAGAATATATCATATAGATGATTTATAGTTTTCAACATAAACTATTAAAATTAGAAATAGATAAAAATAACATAAGAAGTCATATAAAACAAAATTATCAGTTATATACAAGTTTGTGATTTTAGGAGAATGGAAATGAAACAATTATACAACTATATAGTGTATATTCATTGAATGGGTGAGTAACAAACAAAGGTGAAATAATCAAATAGGATATGCTCACTAGTGTTCTTCCAAATTCCTTTTCATTTTAATATTTGAGCTCACATGTCTCTTCAATTTTCTTTTTCACGAGAATTGGTGAAAAGTTAAAATCAAATGAATTGTTGAATTGAATAAGTTGTACAAGTTTCATAGATTCAATCATATGTCTTGAGATATAAATTCATTTAAGATTCATCTTGGAATATGAATGGGTAGACGTCAAAATGCATTGAGTCATAAGATTCAAATAGTGAATCTTAAGATTCTGAAACTATGTCAAAACATAAAATTGTGGCTTTAGTTCACTGTTGCTGCATGTTGATAATGACTTTCAACATAGTATCTGTTTGCTAAGAAATCGTTTCCCTTTACTCCTCTCTTCATTTCCACACTCAAAAGAAGACTCAGTACCCTCTTATTGATGTATTTTAATTCTTTTAATATCTGTTATTGATCATGAATCATAAGAAAACTCTATATTGGAAACTCACATTTTTAGTATATCTTATATATTGATATATGTCATTGGTTCTAAATGGAGTTATTTTCAGAAATCATGAAAAGTTGTTTTCTAATGTATCTTTCTTGGATAGTTTATTTACAGCTTCCTGTACTAAGATTATCATTTAGATGTGATTTTCTTAAAGCACTATCTTTGTAGGTTCATCTTTGAAGAAAATTGAAGATGGAAAGGGCATCATTGTGCGATTTGTTATTGGTAGAAGGTTCACATTCCTTCTTTTAGACTTGTATGGGTTAGGGTGTGTGGGAGAAATTGAAACATGGCTTATATCTTACATATACTTTTGCAGTGAAAATCGTGGAGACAATCTCGATATAGACGTTGATCGTGAGAATAGGCTGACTAATGACTTCATAATTCTTGTATGTTCAATTAATTTCAGGATTTCATCTCTTCATGTGCTTTGAAACTTTATATTTTTTTAGAACTGCAAATTAACAGGCTAGGTTTATCATTTATTGTTAGTTGTCTTATTCTAAATTTGGAAATAGATCCTCCAGACTCCTGAATATAATTTTTAGATTACATATAACATCCTCCACATGCAAAAGTTGAATCTACCTGGTTGCTAAAAGTTAGAACCGTGTAAATTTCACCACAGAATTCTGATGCAAAGAATTGGTCATCAGTTGTGCCATTCAAGTTCCAGTCAAGTTAGACCGGAACAACTGGTGCCAGTCAGGAAAAACGTGGTTAATAACTTGTCTTTTTAGCCTAGTTATTTCACTGTACATTTTGTTATTTGATTCTTCTGTTTCCAATGGTTAAAATCTCTTTTTCTTCTTCTAAATGAAACTATATTTGAGTTGGCATCAATCTTGCGTTGACATCATTATATGCATGCTACAATAATTTTTTTTCAGACTGTAGTTTTAGATAAGTAAGCAGATGTGGGATTAAAAAGTAATACATCTGCAGTTGCTTAACTTGGTGCTTATAAAGCGTGTTGTGACTTTTTTCATGTGGTGAATAAGGTTCAAGAGAATAAGGTAGTTAGCTCACCTTCAAAACTTATGCTGACAGGATAATCACGTGGAAACAAATGATGCATTGCCAAAGAAGGCTAAATTGTTCTTTGCTTATGCTGCAGACAAATGGGATGCTGAGTTTTATGCTAAAGTCAATGATGATGTTTATGTAAATATTGGTTAGTTTTCCTTTGACTGAATGAGGTGATTATTGATAATCATGTAATTTACTTAATATTTCTCTTAGAAAGTAAATTTGGACATAGTTCAACCTTCCATTGCGAGGTGAGTTTTGCACTTATATATAATAGTTTGGTTATATCTGTAGTGCAACAATAAAGTATATATGTCCCTTTTATCTCTTAATTGAATTCCTCTATTAAATCCTCCTGTGCATTAGAGAGCTCCGTTGTTATGGATAGGAGTATGATCTTATGACCTCAAGTTTGTGGGAGTCATCATATAGATGGGTATTTCCTGTAAGTGAAAGTGCAATTTTATCATTAAAACGGTGCTTTTTCATGAACTCAAGGAGTGTTTCGATGGGGTTTTCGGAAAAAAGGAAAAAGCCACTAAAATATCTTAAAGCTCCTTTTATAGCTTAAAATTATCCCTGACGTTTTTTGTAATTACAAAACAACCATTATCCTCATCTCTATCTCCCTCCTCTCTGTGACCATTCCATGGCATGTCTGTGTCTCTTCTCTCAACATTCCTCATGGCTTGATTTGTCTGCATCTTTAATTGGACTTGTGGCTTCGTGGACTATTGTTGTTCAATCTTGGTATGCCCTATTTTATTTTTCTAGTCACGTAGGTTTGATCTGTTTTCCAATTTCTCGTTCCTATTTGTTGCAAAAAGCAATGTTGGAAAAATGGAAAAGTTATACCTTTGTTTTTGAGAAACCTCTTTTTCTTTCAGCAAATAATTTAAGTATTGAATTTTTTGTTGACTGTTCAAGAGATGGACTTGGAGTGGCCACTAATTAACCTCGTAAGGAGTTGTCATGTTCACTCTAAGTAGTGACACGAGCTAACAATCAGGCTTACGCTTGGTCTATAAACATACTAAGGGTCATGTTTAATCTAAGTAGTGACAGTAGCTAATAATCAGCCATAGACTTGGTCTATACTAAGGACTCATTTGTTTAACTTTTTTTAAGAGAAAAGAAAAAGTTTTTCTTAGGAAGTGAGTTTAAGTCTAACTTATTTTTACAAAATCAGTTTGTAAGGTGAAGATTGCTCCTAACTTAAACACTGTAAATTAACTTTGTTTTTTATCCATATGAGATCTCCATCATTTTTAATTAAACAAATGTGTTTAAAACTTATAAGAAATGAGTTTTATTTTTTTTCATTTTGAAAGCTTTATTACTTTTTTTGCTTGGAAGTGAAAAATAATAGCTTCTGGGTAAAAGTTACATCATAGAATCACTGCTTTAGACTTGAGATTTTCATGCTTATTTTAAAGGAAAATGACACTTGAACAACCATTTTTGACAACATTTAGACACGTGTTCTCGTGTCTAAATGTTGTCAAAAATGGTTGTTCAAGTATCATTTTCCTATTTTAAATTGCAGATTTAATTACATAGGCCCTCTTGCAGCTGGATGTTCAGAAAATTTGATATGATGGCTATATCGTATGATAGCTACGGCTATGAGACTATAGTGTACTTTTCTGTCATCTTTATACGTTCATCTTAAAACTGTTTTCGAAAAATTATCAATCTTTCGGCAGAAGGTTATTGCTTGTCCAGTGTAACAGTGATCTATCCTTTCTATTTTTCTTAACCTGCAAATACAAATGTATATTCCTTTTATATATGTCAAGAATTTCAGGCCTTGTGATACCAAGAACTTCGTACTTGATGAATTTTAAAATATTAAAAGTTCATGTTAAATAATATATAATAGCTAATTCAAACATTCTCGTCGTAAATGGTTGCATGCTTCCGATGGAAACTTCAACCTATTAGAGAAATATAGGAAGAATAAAGCATTTCTCTTGATAGCAACTGAGGTTCTTGTGGAGTAATCTTCAAGTTTCATCTTATTAGACATCTATTATCCAAGATTGTATTATTAGGCTACAACCCATTACCAATTTCAAACACCAGCAAGAATAGAGGAAATATGTTAAAGAAAACAAAGAAGAAAAAAATTAAATTGTTCCTTTGATGATTGTATGCTAACATTTTATTGTGTGCTCGTCCCTCCACCCTATTTAATGAAATTCCAGAGAACTTGTTACCCATTTTTATATGTACATGTGTCTTACCACTTTATTTTTCCTTGCACAGATGCCTTGGGAGCTACACTGGCTGCTCACTTGGACAAACCACGTGTTTACTTGGGATGCATGAAATCAGGCGAAGTTTTCTCTGAGCTGTGAGCCCCTTAAGTTGCTTAAAATGTTTTATTTTATGTGCTCTAGAGAGAATATATGTTATGATTCTCATGCTGGTATCTTGTAATATGACAGGAACCATAAATGGTATGAACCAGAATGGTGGAAATTTGGTGACAAAAAATCGTAAGCCAAGCAACCTGTTATTTCATATGACTGAACAACTGTATTAATTTTACTGCTTGTCAAACTTGTATAAATTAGTCATGAATTATGCAGTATTTACCAGTTTTTCATAGCTGAAAGTGTATCTTTGGTGAAACATTTTTTTTTTCACGATATTCTGCAACTGAGTTTGTTGATCCAGTATGTAAAACTGCAATACATTTTTTCAGATCAATAGTTTTGGGAGAAGTCCAGTATGCGACGTTGTTGAATATGTAACTGTTGGAACTAATTAGCAACACAGTATTTTAGATTTTTATGTTTTATTTTAAAAGCCATATTGACTGTTAGGATACATTTGTTATCTTTTTTCTAGACAATATTTTTTAGGCAGTTTATTAATTGATAGTTTTTCTGTTTTACTCATGTTCTATAAATATGTTGACTTTTATATGAATAAAATTATGTTTTCTGCACATACAATTCCTAATAAAAAAAATACTCTACAGACATGATTATACATTATTAAATGCCAAAATGTCAAGTCAATGTAAAATTTCTGTATCCCTATCATGTGATTTGAATATTTCATGTATTTATTTAGTTTTATGGTGCAAAACACCGAATGCCTTGAGGTGCACTAACCATCATAAATATTTTTCTTCGTGTCATCTATCTCCTCTTGAAATAATGATCAAATATCTCAACAGATACTTTCGCCATGCATCAGGAGAGATGTATGTTATATCACGAGCTTTGGCCAAATTTATATCAATAAACAGGTCAGATATACTCCTATCTGCACATATGCTGTTAGTTGCCATTTATGCATTAATCTTGAATCTATTGACTTGACAGATCTATTCTTCGTACATATGCCCACGATGATGTGAGCGCTGGATCCTGGTTTATTGGACTTGACGTGAAGCATGTTGATGAGGCAAAGTTTTGTTGTTCATCTTGGTCGACAGGTCTCCCTCTCTATCCATGTATTACATGTGCATGTGTGCTAGTTTAAAATTTCATGTTCTAGTTTAAAGTATACAAGAAATTTATATAGAAAATCTACTTACCATAATAATGGTTGACGTCGTCAAATTTTGAAGTATACATGATTATGTTTTTCAGGAGCAATCTGTGCTGGTGTTTGAATTCATTCCAGTGCATTCTTGTGAGAAGACCACAAACGTAATACATGGGAGTCATGTTACAAGGTTTGCTTCCTAAGATTTTTTTTTAATTTCTATTGGAAGAGGAGTGATTCGTAGAGATGTCTTTGGAAAAGTTGTTTGATGTCCATCGAGAAACAGTTTCATCTTATGAGCACAGTTGGCAAGTTGAGCGGTTGAGGGTTTACTTGCAGTTATAACTGAGGCATGCAACATCTACAGCAAATAAAACTTCAGCTTCCCGCCTTGGTTTTTTTTTTTTTTCTACAAGAGCTTGCTGCCTATAAATTGATTTCTATCATTATTGGGTTCCTTCTTTTCGTAGGCATTGGAAAGAGGGTCCTATTAGTTAAAGAACTTCCAAAAATGTACTTGATGAAAGTATTTATAGGAATGACATGGTGGCTCATAATCTCATTCGCAGTTAAGGGAACTTTGTACATGAGATAGGGCAGTGAATTTTGATTCATGATTATGGTTTTTTCATATAAGTTAACTATTTATCATTAGAATCTGAAGATTCGCAATAGAATAACGTAATTAATCGTTTGACATCCAAACAAAGCAAGACATAATACGGGGAGGAAATTAGATCTATTTGTTATCTCTAAGAATTACCAATCCTTTCAAACCAAAACCAATTCCACAAATCACCAACATATGTGTATATAAAACTAAGGACACCAACAGATGGCCCATGTTTCAACCTATATCTGACCATTATTTATCATCGTCCAAAGAAACTAACATATTCCTCAGTCATTAATAGTCTCTACGATGAACCGTTAAGGAAATGCGCTAGTGCCCTGTCGGTACGGTTGTCATTCATAACCAGAGCTTCCGCAACACTATTTGATGAAAATCCCATTTCACGTAGAAGTGTGTAGCCTTTCACAAATTCTTGAACCTTCAAATGAGAAATACATTAAGTCAGAAAAACGAATTAATCAGTAAGACTCTTACGGATCTTATGGGTACTACTGTGACAGCTGGCAACACAAATAAAGGATTTTAGCAATAGTCTAAATAAGAAAAACATCAAGTCATCAGATGCTAAACCCTAAACAGAAAATACAATGTAATGATTACTTCGAAAACCATAAACATGCATCCAATGTGGTAAGTACCAACAATAAAAAAACCACGTGATGCAATTTATATACAATACCCCTTCAAGGCAGGCTTAGTCCTGGCCATCATCCTAAGAATGACAAAGCAAAAAACTAAGAAATAAGATCCAAGCTGGGGAAGCTCTTGAAATTCTCTAATGCTAAGAAAGGCAAATAGTTATATTCGATTTGGAAGCAGCCTCCAAAATGAACTGGAAAAGCTTTTAACAGAATGCAAACATGAAGTAGCAACTGGTCAACTTAAAATCGATGTTATAAAAACAAGATCTACAGTTAAACCAGAGAAGAAATTGGTTCACAATTTATGTTGAACCTCGATGAAACTGGTAGAAATAAAGTTTATATTTTTAGATTTATTTAATATTTTAAGTGATGAAAAAGTATAAAATCATAAAACTCATGATATAAAAAATTGCATATTAATATAAAAAGCTAAATCGTATGTTCTATAAGATAAAAAAAAAATTAATAACAATAGGCAATAATGCATAACTATGTGCAAATATGTGTTTTTATTTACCTCAATATTTCAGATTAAATTCAAAATATAAACAAGGTTTAAAATTTTGAAATACCGGTTCAAATTGATTTCCAACACCAGTTCCGCACAGTTCTTTACCAGTTTTGAAATTAGCTGGGTTTTTTTGTATAACTGAACCGACAGTGGACCAGTTCCTCTGCTAGACTGGTCAAACTAGTTAGTTCGGTCTAGTTCAGAAAACTATGAGTTGAATAGAAACTTAGGTCAAAATTCTTCCATTTAGGCCTAAAGCATAACATGTAAGGATATCAAAGCAACTCTCCTTAATGACCATTGAGGTTTGTAAATAAAAGGAACTAGTAGACTCATAGAATACCAATGCTACTCTCCTTACCAAGACAAAGAGACGTGGTAAGAAGACAATCAATCAAGCAAGACATCCAAAGATTTACACATTGTTTAGCTAACTATCTATTAAACTGATCACTTTATCATTCTTGGTAAAGCAATCAACTCCATGACTGGAAATAAGTTCAAAAAAATAATCTGGAGAGAGTCTAGTATCGAGGGAAGAACCATTTGGGTTACAAACAAATGTAGTCAACATGGTCATTACAAAAGAGAGAGATGTATGACATTATTTTCAGAATCATAATCACACTTTTTACTAATGTTATTAACTGAAACATCACGTTAACAATGACTGTCAGTGATCATAACTTACTTTGGTTGGATCATCACCATAGTTTTCAACAGCAATTGGAACAGCTTCTTGGCTGAGCCCCATAGCTATAAATTTGCTCATAATGGAATCCACAGCAGGAACCTAAACAAAAAAGGCTTCATTTTACACTGAGAATTGGAACTTGGAAACAGTAAATGATGTATACACACACAGAAAAAGAGTACTCCAAATTAATTACAAATTAAGAAATAGTAATGTATCACCTCTGCATAATAAATACAGGAAAAGAATTCATTAAACCCATTACAATAGCATAACTTGTAACTTCTTGCTCTAAATCAAGAACAAACCTTTGCTGTTGAAGAATCAGAAACTTTGGTCGGGATATTTTCTGATCCAAATTTGCTCCAATTTGGGTTATCCTTATCCGCTTCAGCTAAAATTTTTCTCTCTAATTCAAATTCAAATTGGAAGTTGCTCCTTGGATTATCTCCCGCATGAGGCGATAAATGAGGCTGCAAAATTGTCAAAACAATTAAAAGATCATATTCAACCATCGAAACAGACCAAGTCAAATTATGCAAAGCTTTAGAATTTTCAGACTCATGGAAGAACAGCCTCAAAATGAATTTAACGCAAAATTCGCCTTGCTTTCACCAACATCCAAAATGGACTTCACAAAGTAATCGTATCCGTTCAAATTACAAATCATTCTTACAAGCATTAAAACGCAGAGTAATTTAGAAATTCTCTCAATTCACAAAAGTAATAGCAAAGCAAATCTTACCGGCGGTGTGATCCTATATTCTGGCCTTATAGCAACCCTAACGCCAAATCCTAATCCTGCTGCACATTCAATTCAATGCGAAAAATCAATTTCACCGCAGTGAAAACGCATCTGAATCAATTTTTCTTTCATTTCCGCAAGTTTCAAGAAAGAACACAAAACAAACGAAAACTTAAACCCTTAATCAGAGGGAGAGAGAAAGGGTTACATGAAGGTGTGGGATTCTGCTCATACGGTGTCGGACGGTACATCGGTGGCGGTGGCGGCTGCGGACGGTACATCGGAGCTTGTAGGCCCGACCTGCTTCTGAAATCGTAGTCCATCGAACAAGCGTGTGCCGTCCCACTTCGGAACCGGATTCTAACTTCACCTTGTAAGTTTTGTTTTCTTTGACTGATCAAACAAAATGTTTACTCAATAATTATTTGAAAATTTGACTATTTATCAGCAAAAGAAATTGACTAATCAAAGCTGAATTGAGTTCTAAAATGGAAAATTGTTGATAGCTAAATTTGTTCAGTTAGTCATTAGATAATACATGTCCATGCATGCTAACACCGGGATAAAGTCCAAGGATTTTAGTTTTTAGGTTTAATATGTCCCTAGTTTGGTAATTTGTATTCAAAGTCATCCTATCTTTCAAAAAAAAAAATCACTATTGTCTAATATTTTATTAAGAATAGTGTTAATCCTTTTGGCTTATTGCATTAAAAACAAATGATGCAATGATGTGAAAATAGTGTGCTGTCCAATTTTTTATGACGCAGCAATTATGACCTAATTGACGTGGCCAGAAACCCTAATTTCTCTAAGGTCAGAAACCCTTGTGCCACCACCGTGAAACCCTAGCCGCCACCGCTGTCGCACAATGAAACGCACCACCACTAAAACCTTAGTTCACCATGCCGCAGTCACCACCATTAACACAGACCTACAATTCGAAGCAGAGAAACTATGACCTGTGTAATGTTTATTCAAGAGAGCCTTCATGATTCTTCACCTTGACTCGCGGCAGCCCCTGGTGGCACAATGCATTTGATCAACGATGAACGAAGAAGAAGCTCTCTTTCTGGGCTTTTGCTCTTTGCATAGAAGACGAAGATGGAGGACGCATGAAGAGTCTTCTTGCACGATGCATGGAGGCACATTGTTTCTGCGTTTCTGGCTTGTGTAATTTGCAGGTTGATGTTCATGGGTGCTGCTTGCGAACTTGGGTTTCTACAATTTGGGTAGCGATTATGTATGTTTATGGTTTGCTGCAGGTGTGAATTGGGTTTCTAGGTGTCGCGATTGCGATTTTCTTGTTCATATTTGGGTTGGAATTTCTAGTTTGCAAGTTAGGGATTTCGATTCAGTTCTTTCTTAATGGTGGTGAGGCGTGACGCATGGTGGAGATTTTGCCCTGATTATTGACGACGTGGTTTAGGGTTTCATGGTGGCTAGGGTTTGGTTTGAATTAGGCGATTTGGGTTTGATTTCTGGGTTTTCTATTGTTTTTCTCTACTTCGAATTGTAAGTCTGTGTTGATGGTAGTGACAGCGGCATGATGGCCAAAGGGTTTGGTGGTGGCGCGTTTCGTTCTACGGCAGTGGCGGCGGCTAGGGTTTCACGGTGGTGGCACAAGGGTTTCTGGCCTTAGGAAAATTAGGGTTTTTGGCCACGTCAATTGGGTCACAGTTGCCGCGTCATAAAAAATAGGACAGGTTACAATTGCCACATCATTGCACCGTTATGTTTTTAACGCCGTAAGTCAAAAGGATCAACTTGAACGGTTTTTAAAGAAGTAGATACTCCACCACCACAAAAAATGACATTACACTTCTCATTCCGCCACCCATTGCATGTCGAAGATGAACAAGAATGCGACTTCTGCAATTCATTATCCATCTCTTCGAATAGAACAAAGAATGCGATTTTTCCCCTTCAAACAAACCCTAATCATAAGAACCCCCAATTTTTGCATTTCAGTTGCATATCTCAATTTAAAGGTGACAGACAACCCTTAAAATTTTTAATCTTTTTTTTGGTGAATTTGACGACAAGTCTCTAATTGAATCAAATTAACAATAAAAGGGACCCAATTGATACACCAAAAAGAAAAAAAAGGCATATTTAAGCTTTAGGACAAAAATATGGACTTCTGGGGAGATTAAAAAAGCATCAAATTTAGTCTTTTAGTATTTTAAAGACATCCAACTTGGTCATTTTGCCTACTTGCTGGTCCTTTAATTTTCAACTAACAATCTATGATTTTTCTTCTTTATCCACCGGGATATTATGTTTATTCATGGTCAAGCAGGGACTGAGCAATCAAATTAGAAAAAAAAAATCAAATTTAATGTTTTTGAAAAACTAAAGGACTCAATTGGAAAAAACTAATAACTAAGCATCTTTTTGAAATTTGAATGAAATTAGAAGACCAAATTAGAAATTTAGAAAAAAGTAATTATGTTTCTGAAAACCTTAACTAAAGATGTGCTATAATGTGGGATTTTGGGTTGGAATGCCATTGTAAATTTTGTATTCTTATGAAATAGTACTGTATACTTTCCACTAAGAATTAACATATTCATGTAAGAGTTCATACATATTCAGCTACAATTGTTGTAACTCCAAAATCAAATGTGATTGTTGAATTTCTATATTTCGATACAGAAAAATTACAGCAATTCATTAATCAACAATCCTATGCTCCCACGTGTTGGCTGAGGGAGACAAATAATAGAGTCCTGTCTTTACATCACTTTCAGATACATTCCTACAAGGAAAACTGAGAACTAGAAAAAACACTCGCTATGGTACATAATGAGATACAAAAATTACAATCCAAATATGGGGTCATTTGCACCAAATATAGAAGAACCAAACTGTCTCGTATTCAAATCATTGCTATCCAAGGCTGGACCAAAACGATCCAGCCACTGTGTTGGACTTGCAGTTTCATTCTCCTCCACCCACTCAGAAGTCATGTCAATATCATCAAATTGAAGCAGATCGACTTCTGAAGACTTAGCATTCATCTGTCTAGCTAACTTCAGGTTGTAGTTTATATAAACGAGGTCATTCAATGTTTCTCTATCAATCTTGTTCCGCTTCTCAGAGTGAATTTGTCTGAAAGTACTCCACTGCCTGTGAAATGAGAAGGTGCTACAAACTTGACTTAATATTCTAATGGCAACTCGTTGCAATCCTGGAGCTGAATCACCATACTGCTCCCACCAAAGCCCTACAACGTAAAAGCAATGAGTTTGCAGAATAACTAAAGTACTGAATAACAGTATCAGCATAATTGCAAATAAAATTAGTGGAAAAAAGTAGATAGAAAACAACAAAATCACGTTTTCATGAAACATGCTGTTCAAAATCCATTGCACAAGATAAACAGCAGATTGAAATAATCAGCATCCTTGCCACTGCTTCATTAATACGATTATCATGATGCTTGACAATCAAAGCACTGGCATTTGCTAACAATAGACATGTCAAAAACATTTTGTTGCGTTGTTCTGAAATGAACAATTACAAATACCAAAAGCTCAAAGCATAGTGCAGACACATTTCAGCTTGATGTGGTCATCATCCCTCCCAAGAGAAAAAAGGACATGTAGATAAGAATTAAACCAAATGAAACGAGATGTTGTTCCTGGAGGCTAGGACTGTCCAAGTTTCTCATAATGCAACTGAAGGAGAAATCAGATGCTAAAAGTTGTACAGTGGATGAAACAAAAAAAGATCTCATTAATCAGAAATGAACTGAAAAATGTCCTACAGTTAATTTTGCATGACCTAACTTTTCAAATGCATTCCATTCATTTACGATTTAACCTACTACCCTTCCACAAGTCCCCTCACCCAAAAAATAAAACCCAACTTTGTGCACACTGGAACATCATTAATCCTGGAATTAGGCTCAATTACTCGATGTGCATGTTTTCTTCACCTAAAAACTAATGTTGGAGTTGGTCACTAATATTCACAAAAGTTGTTGGACTGAACAAAGCAGCTCAAAATGAACGTCATCACAAAATTGACTCTGAAAATGTATCAAGGGGAACTATTTAAAACTTACAGGGTGCAACTGTATGCCTTGCCTCCTTTGCTAGGCTACAGCCAAACATGCCATGTGCCTTCGTAAAAGTATAGATTTGATTGGTGATGTCACGCCTCATATCTGGTACAGGAAGCAATTTCTCCAGAACATTAAAGAAGTCTTCTTTTATGGAAGAAATAAATTTTATTTCAGGATTGTATTGAATACTGGGGTTCAAAAAGGCAGCAGCAGCATGTAGAGGTGAATGGAGTTGGTCTCGCCACTTTTTATCAACTATATCTAAGAATGTCTTACACTTGTTCTCATCCATTATGTAGTATGTCCTGATCGATTCTTTGGCCCTTGTCATTAGCTCATATATGGAACCTACAGTTGGTTTACCTTCTGATACTTCCCTCAATACTTTTAAAAAAGGCTCAGAGATGGCCACACACTCTTCCACTGTCCTCCAGAAATCACCATCTTCAGCAATTGCAACACAAGAAATACTCTGTGGTTTATTTGCATAGGAAGTGTTTGAGGCATATTCATGGCTGTGGAACATATTCTTCAATCTTGTTCTCAACCTCAACATAGAATGTAAAGACATAAAGGTGGATACAGACTTTGTGATCCCAGTCCTGATAAGTTCCTGGCCTCCACTGTACTTCTTCATAAGATCAAGCAATGAGGCATTATTGTATATTAACTTTGATATCGTTTGTGCTTGTAAAATTCATCTAGAAACCCAATCAACCTTGGAAAATTCCTCCAAGATTAGGTTTAAACATTGAGAGGCACAAGGAGATACAAATATAGTTCCATAGCTCTGCACAATATGATTTGCAATACCAGTATAGTTAACACTGCTGTCCATAATAATTTGAACAACATTTTCTACGCCAAATTCCTGAATTACAGAATCAAAAAGATCAGCCAGCCACTTCGTGTTCTTGAAATATGGAGAGGCATCCACAGATTTATGGAAAAAGGTCCTGGATGGTGAAGAGACTAAGAAATTAATTATGGCCTTTGATTTATAATCGGTCCATGTGTCTGCAATGATGGTACAACCTGTAGTTGCCCACTCTTTCTCAACATCTTTTGACTGTAAGCCCACTTCTGATTTTATCCTTTCCAACCATGTGGTTTTCAGGATTTCTGCTGATGGACCAGCAAATCCAGGACCACACTTTGCAATGGCATCAATCATCAACTGATACGATGATGACCTTGCAACACTGAAGTCCAACTTATTCTCAAAAAAGAATAGAGCAATACTTCTCTCTGCATTCTCTTGGTTGTTTGTAGAGGAAGGGGTCATAGGATTGCCAGTGGGGAAAATCTTCATAACAGGGGATGCTGCATCCAAAGATACAAGAGCTTTAGTTGCCGAAAGATTACTGGGTGACTTGACTTCTGCTAGTTTTTGTTTCTTCACGCAAGAGGTTTCT